GTAACTCTAATTAGTGTCATCAATCTTAGAATAAGATAGAATTTAGTAGCCTCAGCCATTTTGTCATCATGAAAAATGTAAGGTTATAAATTTTAATTGGTCTAAAAAGAGGTGATGTCTTGAAGTGATAAAATTTCAAATTTTTCTATACACAGTATGTTCTTAAACTTAAATACTAATGAGTTCAAAGGTTAATTACCCAGGCGTAGTAGCCATTACAAAATATCTCCTCTCATTGTGTACATTGGATGGGATTCTCTCTACCTCAAGACCAGTCACTGATACAGGACCATCTTTACCCAAGTCAAACACCTGAAAGTTCAACATGAACAAACATGAAATTATGATATCAATTTTCTTATTTGGTAAAAATGAGTTTTTCAGGCTGAGGGAGCCTGTTAATATAATATTTATAGGACACTGAGTGTTTCAGAAAACTTTGTGGTGCATCTGTCAAAGAATAGGTAGGCATTATTGTTTAAATAATTTAGACATAAATGAATGATATTAGACAAAAATTAGTCCTATAGGTTCACTCTGCACACTGAAACTTAGTTTTGTAGAGCACTAGAGCAACATATTATTATATGTAAAGATGAATTATAGAAATTGAAGAAAAAACTGGCAGCACACATATAACCACTTATTATCAATGCATTGATGCACTTGTAATTTTTCATTCTTGCCTACAGTAAAATGCACTATCACTTACCTGTCTCCAGTATTGCTCCAGGCTTTGTAAGAAAAATCTGCTGTCTTCTCCTGACTGAAGTTCAGTCTCAAAAATCAAACCTGTAATATATATTTCAATATATCTTAATAAAGCTCCTGCAGACAATCTTCTAATAAACAATAAAAACAATAACAATAGCAATGACGATCATAGTGGCGGATGACAATAACAATCCTAACAACAATGAAAAAAATGTAAGAACAATAACAATCCTTTTAATACTAATAACAATGTTAATGAAATAACAAGTACTACAAAATCAATAATTATAATAATATAATAATGAATCCATTATTTATTAAATTATAATAGAATGCACCAAAAATGTAGGGTTCAGAGGCATAGATTACCTTGCCCCAAGAACATGACTGAATGTCTAGTGTAATATTTAAACCCGACCTTACAGTTTGAGCATCGGTAATGTTGGTATTCTAACTTACCTCTACTTGTTCCTACCAGAATCTCTCCTGTCTGATTGTCACTTGCATTAGCTTTATTCCAACCTACAGAGTCAATAAGGTAACCCTAAAAAACAGATAACAATTAATATATAAAAGGAAAACATTTTAAGTAAAAATAGACTAATGCAATTGTCATTATTAGTTTTATTTAGCTATTTATTTCTCTTATATGTGTGTAGAATGGGATTGCATAAACAAGCATATGTTGCATTCCTGATGATGACATAATTAATGTCGAAATATTGAATCCCGACACGATGGCGTGCATTTCGACACTTGGAGTATGTATTATACTATCTTAAGCATATGTTGTGTTTAAAAAGAATATATGTGAAATATAAGATGCGAGTACCTTCATTTTCTGAATAGGCTTAGCTTTCTTTGAATGTTTAGACAGGTAATACACATCTTGTGAATTTTGCATGCTGATTATAAGATGACGACCATTGGGGTCCAAGAAGATCTTATGAACTTTGTCATCAGGATTCTTAGTCAGATCAATGTCTGAAAAGGATGAAACAAATGAAAGAAAAGAAGCATAATTAGTATACTGTATGTCTAACTAGTGGTAGCCACTGTGTGTGCTTAAATTGTGGGAACCTTACACAGCCTGGATCTGGTTCAAATCCCATCACTGCTCTCCTTGTGTTTCAGCTAGACTGCTGGGATGCAGCTTAGCTCAGTCGGCTAATCTGGTGGTAGCCACTGTGTGTGCACTGAACCGTGGAGATCTCTAGGTCCCCGGTTCAATTCCCATCGCTGCCTCTCCTTGTGTTTGTGCATTTATGGCCCATGTGCACGTTAAAGAACACAGTACACTCTTCGGAAAAGAGTAGGGGATTTTCTCCCGGTGTACTGTCCAATCACCACCAGAAGGACCCCACTGGAAATAAGTCTTCTTCTAGACTTTCGTGGGCTATCCTTGGTGTTTACACCGAATAAATCAAATCCAATCCAATCCAACCGATGCAAGTATAATATATAGTGCATCACCATTTGGAAGGCAATATGGCCCATGTGCATGTCGTTAAAGAACACAGGAAATGGTGTTTCGATGTACTACTCAATTTACCTGGAAATAAGTTTCGCACTTTTGTGGGCTATCCTGCGTGTGTTTCTCACTGGAGAAAATCATACCATACCAGCAGGTAAATCTATGAATAAATCTTCACGCTATCACGCTATGCTGGATAACTAGGTTGCTTACCATCTGGCTGGTCGGGGTGCTCTAGATCAATCCGTAAAATCTTGTTGTTGGTCATTGCCATCACAAGGATGTTGTTGTTTACTGTAAGCATTGTGATTGGTTTCTCAGGTCTGCAAAATTAATACGTTAATAAGGATTACACAGATTTAATAATCCACTTCCACCAAATCTTATCACGTTTGTCATTTGAAAAGAGAATGAGGACATGTTATTATTAGCTGCTGGGATGTTTAGTTGTGTAACCAGCTAAGTTTTGAAGAAGTGCATTGGGTCTTCATTGCTCTATGTTTGTAGTTGTTGTTAATGTTATTTGCCATTGTAGCTTGTGTGTGCTGAAAATTGAATACTGTTGCTTTATGTGCCACTGATGTGAATATCTTTTACAATTTAATGAATATCTTATGCGTCTTACTTGAAATTAACTCTTTGTTTATTGAAAATGCGCACTTCTTCTGGTTCTAATCTTGCAGTCACAAAGCCTGAAGATATCTGAATGAAAGGAACAAGTTATTAATTACAAAGGAATGATTATTTATCATAAAAGTAGTAAAGTAGTAGTAGTATTTATTTATCATTAAAGTTTCACCTTTTTGAGAAATGTTACTGAGTTTGTTTTCTCCTGCACCTTTGATAAATTTTTGAATTGGCGCTATATAAATGTTTATTATTATTTAATACAGTAGAATCCCTCTTTTGGGACACCCCTATTAAGGGGACAAAATTTCAGGCACGAAAATTATATCATTTAACACTATGGCCAACCCTTATTTAGGGACACCCCTATTAAGGGGACACCTTTTTGGTCCCAAAGGTGTCCCCATTAATAGGGGTTCTACTGCATCATACAATTAAGAAATTCATTTTTAGCTTAACACTGTCAAACAGTATATATTTAAATTGGGTCTTGTTGAACTTGCTGATAAATTTTCACATTTTCATATTTTGCAGGATGCCAAGAAAATTATAATTGTACTTACCGGTTCATTATTAGTCTTGTTAGCACGTACAGGCACAGATGATGCTGCCCTTGCTGTAGCCTGCTCGTACTGTTCTAGTAGTGATGCCATTGCTGCTGCCTATTGCATACACCTATGGAAGTAATGATCAATCATCTATAACACCAATTCCTAGCATTTGCTGAAAGCTGTAATTTGTCAGAATCACAGTGAAATTTAGCTAAAAA